AAGAAATGTGTAGGCAGGAAAAATAAAAATAAAAAACAAATGCATTCTTCTTTTCTACAGGATAAAAAAATGCTTGAAAAGCTGTCACACCGTCGAGGTAGCTCAACTCAACAGTGCAAGTGGGACATGGCCGCCGGGCCACAGTCCCACTAGCAAAGAGGATCGGATCGAATGCCTGAATCTGGACGAGTTTATGGAGATGTGCAGGAAATCGAGATTGAACTGCTTTTCTGCATCTCTGCATAAAACACATCCAGATTCAAGAGCTCGATCCTATCCTTTTTGCTAGTGGGACCTCGCCCCCGCGGGCCGATATGTGGTGTACTGGTGCTTCAGATGTCTCGAAGGACAATTTCCAGAATTAGGCCCATGCTCCCGTAGTAATAGCTTGCTCATGAATTAGCTCCAAGAAAAAAAAAAAAAAAGAAAAAAAAAAAAGAAGAAGAAGAATTAGGTCCAAGGATGCTTAGCTCAGTAAGGCACGTCAGTAGCATTCAGGAGGTCTTGGGTTGAATCTCCATTTGGCCCCATGGACCTTCCTGGGCAGGCTTGGCGCCTGTTGGTCCCGCCGAGCGGCATTGAGTAGTGACTGCTGATATTTGGAAGGGGAGGGGTGCTGAGCGGAGGGGAGGCGTGGCAACTGCAACTGGCCCACCGAAGAAGCTCAGTCCCGATGCTACCAGCTGACCCCTGGCCGGTATCGCCCACCCGCAGGCGTGTTCCCTTGTTGGAGGCTTGAACTCAGGCTGGGTGCTAATGGGTTCCCTGCAACACTATAATGATAAACAAGCAGAACCCCGCTGCGCAGCGGGGCAATGAGAGGGGTAGAGCATGGAAGGGTTCACCACCATACATTTTGCTCTTATAGTGGAGCGAGGCCTAAGATACATGGCAATTTTTCTATTATTATTTTTTTTGGGGGGGAAATTGCATCTGTACCCCACTTAAAGATGGCAATACCCGCTATACCCAGTCCCCAGCGCCCAACTTGCATCTATGCCCGGACCCCGTTCAACTTTGCATAGTGCCCAACTCTTCCCCTGTGCAAAATTGTGGGCATACCCAATCCCCCAGGCCCTCAGTTCCGGGCCACGAAATTATGCCCATGCCCAGAAACGGGCTGGCCAAATTGTGGGTGTACCCACAATCAGGGGCGGGGCTTTAGATGGCAGACTGCAAAATTATGCTCATGCCCACCGCGTGCACCATTGTGGCTTGGCTCAGCGGCCGGTAGGTATGAGTATAATTTCAGCCATCCGGTTGTAGGGTGTATGAATAATGTGGCAAGTCCATCTCCGTCCCGGGTATGCCCATAATTTTGCCTGGGTATTTCCATAATTGGTGCATTCTGGTAGTTGGTTATAACTGCAATTTTGCGGTACCAACCTGGGTGCACCTCAGTCCAGGGCATGCAAATAATTTCCACCAGAAGTTTCGGGGTATAGGTGGAAGCTGGCGCTGGGACTGGGTATAGCGGGTATTCTTATCTTTAAGTGGGGTACAGATGCAATTTTCCCTTTTTTTTTGGTTGCATCATTACAGTTGAGGGGTCTCGGGATATTATCATTTGAACTGGCATGGCCCATGTAATCCAGAATTCCAGTATTTTACTCATCTGCTTCGTGTGCTTTATGCGGGGTTCAAACTCAGGTCTGTAGCAGAGGATTCCGAGGCTCCCTCCACGGCTCTCCACATGCACAAAAGATTAAAAAAAAATGGCGGTGCATCTTCCCATGTTCTTGCAGAAGATCCTTTCTTAGTGGAGGGAGGTCCTCAGTTTGCAGGGACTGAAGAGGACTGCGGGCGTCACTCCTCTACTCTCCACATGCACAAGAAACAAAAAAAATATGGCAATGTAACTTTCCATGTTCTACAAAAGGATTCAGTCTCAAGATACACTGCCATATATTTTGTCCTTTGTGCATGCGGAGAGGCCCGCTGGCTGTGGCATTGGATCGCCCCTCTTCGAAAAAGACAAAAAAAAAAAAAAATGAATCTACTGAAAACGAATTACGAATCTATGTATAAAAAAAAGGTATCGAATCTACTTGGAAAAGAAAAAGGACAAACCGAAACTAAGTCTTGCTCTACTAACAAAAAATATGGCAATGTATCTTTCCATATTCTAGTGGAGGATTCACTCTAAATATGGCAATGTATCTTTCCATGTTCTAGCGGAGCATTCACTCTGGCCTCACGACTAAGGGCCTCCCTCCACTACTCCGCAAACGTGGAAAATGAGACCGAATGCTCTGCCAAAACCTGGAAACATACATTGCCACTGTTCTTCTTTTTCTTTTTCTTTTTCTTTTTCTTTTCTGTTTTTTTTTGTGCATGTTGAGAGTAGTGTAGCAATGGCCTCCGCACAAGGATGACAAACATAAATCGAGTAAAAAAAAAAAAAAGTGACGGGAAGAAAAAGAAAACAAATGAGAAGCATCAAATGGCCTCTTCGTATGTACTTATATTCGAACATGCCCCAAGAAACAGTGTGCGGTGTACGGCCTCTCGACCTAGCCAGTGACCGCCGAGCTGTTTGGGATCCTCAAAATGTGTGAATTCGTTCTATTTGGCATTTTAATATTCAGTGTGCTAAGTTCAAAACAATTTTTACTTTGTAATGAAGAAATTCTATTCACTTTTAGCTTTGTGGGTTTTGTTTTATTTAGTCAAGGAACTTTCGACGAAACTTTCAATGCTACTTTTGAAGGAAGAAGTGAATCTGTTGTTTCGGAATTACAACAACTTGTGAGTTCTGCAATCAGACTCGTTCTCAAACACCCTTTTCATGGATGTAAACAGCAACGCAGCATACTGGCGACATGCGCCCACTCAAAACTCAGAGATATGGCTTTCAGATACGAGTTCACTCTCAATTGGCTATGGCGACTTCAGCGCCCAAACATCTCACTGTTCACATACACTGGATCACCCTGGATATCCCACACGCATCACTCTAACACTCAAGCACACTCACACACTCACTACTAACTACAGCTATGGCAGCCTGCATCCTCCGGGCTCATCTGCAGACCTCCTTGCACAAGTACAGCGCTTCCGCATGGCTCACACAGGAATGAATGAATGGCTGGGCGCTGCCTCTTGATTTATACTTCAGAAACTCGTTGGTCTGCCCTTTGCCATCGGCCCTCGGTGCTTACAGTCCCCCTGTGGTACTTGCTGGACCGGACTGGGACTGACTGGACCTTCCGTTGACTGACTGTGGACTCACCGCTATCCTACCGCCGTTGCACTGCTGTTGCACTGCGGTTTAGTCCACCACTTGCCTCACCACTTGCCCACTTGCCTACCTTCTAGAAGGTCTACAGCTAAGCTTCCAGAACTCACTAAGACTCCTACGTTATAGACCTACAGATCGAACCCCTGCTGTCTATGGACCTACGACAGGTCTACCAACTGCCTACGAATACACAGGTCACAGGTTCAATTCTCGGGGTCTACACAGATACTGTACATGGGTAGGGTGAGGTCTAGGGATCGAACCCTGCGTACTGCATCCGCTACTGCTAAAAGGTGAAAACCGTTTCACTCCCGCCGTCCTAAATTCGAGGTCCTCCGAGAAAATTTTAGTCCAAGGCAGGACCTTTACCTTTCTTGTCACGCTCATAGGCCCTGACTATTTCGGGAGTGGTCTCTAGAAGTTCTGCTTTCGTGAACCAGCGGTCGTCTTCCGGTTCCTGATAAGCAAACAGGACCTTATACTGTTTCTGGGGACGACCTCTACCTCCTGTCCTAAACACATCCTCTTCTACAATGCCCTCTATGTCATAGCTTCCATCCATACCCGGTGGAATCATGGATCTCCTGGAAGGGAACTGTTGGCTAGTGATACACGGCAGAAGCTTTGAAGCATGAAACACAGGGTATGTGTGGAGGTGTGCTGGAATCTCAATGCTATAGGACGGTCCATCCTCTCCGCCCTTGACTTCTAGAA